ATTATGTCCAGATCTGGGCTCAGCACGAGGAGGAGATGGCCGGCTGTTCCCTGCTGAATCTGCCTGAGCTGGTTAGCCTGTGCATGCCCGTCGACACTCGCTCCAACAGCATTGACTGCACTGCCTTGCGGGAGCCTTTCTCGCCTCTCAAGCCTCCCTGGCGGAGAGTGAGAGTCACCGCTTCTTCGACGGGTGGACGGAGCACATAGTGTTTAGCGCTGATGTGGACGACTTGATGGGCGAGCCTCCGTCGCAGGTCAGCTGCCTTCCCGACGACCTGGATGTTGCAGGATCCTTTCTGGTTTTCCATCGCTACACTCCTGACCTCCAACTAGAAGGTGTCTTCTTTGACCTGGCTGACCTCCCGAGCCACACCTCAGGGCTCACCAACTCGGTCACCATCAAAGCCGACACGGTGGTTCTGACACGGCCCATTCCGCCCCTGCGCTACCGCCTCACAGTCTCTGCGCAATGTAGTGCTTGCCCATCCTCTCCTGATGGAGGCGCCGACGACGCTCTACCCCCCACAACCACCGAAACGTTCTACCAGCTGCAGGTGTCGGCCGGGCGCGTCAACGGCGTGACGGTGATCCAGTACGAACACGGGCTGCTGACCGTGCGGCTGCTGGACGGGGCCGACGTCGTGGCCAAACTCTGCCTGCGTACAGCGAGGATGAGGTGCGTGAGTGGGTGAGCGCCAGGCAGCTGTGGCTGACCCTCTACTGCAGCTCTACCCTGCGGGAGTCAGACGAGCGGGAGACCCTGCTGTACGCCAGAGACCTCGCCTCCTTCGTCACCAGAGACCTCAAAGTAGACATGGTGGGCACGAGCCAGAGGGCAACGAACCTGCTGTATGACATCAATGCTGCGCTTTCTAACTCGCTCCTTCCCCGCAATGTCCCTTACCTCAGCGTCAGTGTTTATGCCGAGATGGTTCCCTACCTGGCAGACACCATCGCTGTCTACAAGGAAGCTTATGACGACCTGAGAAGAAAGCTCATGGTGAATGCTGAACGACTCTTTGACATGAACATTCACTTCGAGGAGCGAAAAGCTGATCTGGAGTTCATGCAGAGCAATGCACAGCGCGCAGTTGAGATGGCGGAGGAAGTGCACAGCGTCCATTCTGCTCAGCTGCAGAACCACGTGTCTTGGGCCATCAGCAGCTGGAAGGCCATCATGGACATCTATGAAAATGTCTTGGCCTCACGACCCAAGTCAATGATGCTTTGGATCGGGCAGAAGAAGGCCTCAAGGCGTACAAGCGGCAGCAACGTTTTGTTTCGTTCCTAAATGTCGGAACGACGTTCGCTCGCTGTATAATGGGCTTCCCTGAGGCACGATTGGAGTCATACGTAACGTCGGGGAGATCGTGTCAAATGCATTCGAGTTCAAGTCATCTGGTGAAACCATGGAGGAAATAACAGAGAAGATTGAAGCTGTCAATGTCATGATGGTCAAAACAGAGAGCTTCATGTCCGCCGTGCCGCCCCTCCCGCCCGCGGACGGGGACCAGCTGGCCTGGCTCATGACCTTCAACGACAGCGAGACGCTGTACGCGATCGCAAGGCAAGCCGGGGTCACTGCCGACCAGTGGGAGTCGGCAGGAGTTTACTCCATCAAGTGTCTCGCTGATGAGGACTTTTCCGACAAGGTGGACGGCGTGAAGAACCTCAAGATGAAGCTGAACGAACTGCGCGTGTGGAGCCAGGCCCTAGCGGAGCAGGTCCAGGCGTTCTGCGAGTACGTGGCGTCCGTGCTGGAGGAGGTGACCAACCTGGCCGAGGACGCCGAGGCGGTCGAGGAGGGCAGCGCGGCCCTCGACAGCGTCAACGGCATGCTGGTCGACCAGGCGGTCACGGAGGAGAACTACAAGGAGCACATCGTGGAGCAGAACCTTGCAGTCCTGGACGTCATGATGAAGCTGTTCCTCAAATCCCGCTCTGACATTCTGGCCATCAACGTCATCCTGCACGAGTACTGCAGCGCTTACTTCTACGCCTTCTTCAAGGACTGCGACCCTACCAACAGCCCCTCCCTCTGGGACAACTACGACACCGTCCTCTACAAACTGAACAAAATCCAGTTTGAGTCCCTGAACTCCATCGCCTCCCTGAGCCCCCCTCCGCAGCCCTTCCAGAAGACCATCCGCGTGCTGGACTCGGCCTCGGGCTGCGAGGGCGGCGCCGCCACCTCCGAGGGCGCCGCGTGCCCCGTGTCCGCCCTCGCCTTCAGCGGCTCCAGCTCCTTCAACCTGGCGGAGCACTGGGGCGCCGGCCTCTCCTTCGGCGCCAGGATCAGGATGGACCGACTCAGGATCTACCTCGAGGGCTCCACGAACACACCGTGAGTTGCAGCGCCGTCCTCGCCTTCCTGTAACACGCGCGGGAGATTAACAGCACATTTGCGGGCGTCTGTTGATGTGACCCGATGGCTCATGAGGGAAATACGCCCCATTACTTTCTTGGTATAAACTTAGCATGAAGAAGTAATTTCTCGA